AGAAACACATATATATATATATATAGATTTATATATATATATATATACGCACCTCACGGTAGTTCTTGGGGGTTAGCATATATATATATATATATGTGTGTGTGTGTTTTGTTAATTCTCTATATACTTACATATATTGTATTAGTGGCGCTAAAGTTCTAAAGCTGCCAAGCTACTGTTTGGGCATCTACCATCGGAAGGCGTGCAAGCTTTGCGAAAAAGAAGGGTGTGCACGCGAGGTGGTTGAATCAGAAATTGGAGGGGTCCACAAAACCACAACCGACGAAAAGGCTACATGTTGAAACATGCTTCGAGTGTTCTAGGGCTTCTTCGGTCCTCTCTTATGGCAGTGTTTCCACTGCCGCGACGTGTTCGATTGCCGCGAGTATCCCTCGTTTTCTCATTGGCACTGCTTGTAGGATTATTTGTTGCGATGCGAAAGTTGCATAAGAATCATTGCCGGTGGGACTCGAGGAGGTTGAGTGACCAGACACCCGGGCTATCAGAGCCGCACTTCAAGCTTTGCTGTTCTGAACCTGCCGCGAAATGGACAAAGGCTATAGCAGTACTATAGCATTGATCATGAGACTGCGGCATGACTTGAATGAACCCTAAACCGTTTCCTAAACCCCAAGCCCTGGGAACAGAATCAGCACAGTTTAATGCCGCTTGCAGCACCCTTGCTACGTGTCTCAAACTAGGCGTCTTGCTGGTGATAGCAACAAGAGAACCAGTTGCAAAAGTCGATTAGATGGAGCAGTGGCAACAACAAGAACCGTCGTACCTGTACTACTGACATGCCAACGGTCTCAATATAGGAACACGTGCCCGACCGGGTGGCGCAAGCCACAAGCTAGTCCCAATGCTGGGTTGAACACGACGACACGGACTGCAATCACAAAAGCAGCTATGAAGATCAGCAGAACTAATTTAATTGCAACGTTGACCATTAAGGCAACGAAGACTGGCAGCAACCCAATGCTTGCAGGCAGATTAACTGCATTTCGAGATCAAACTGCCACTGTCACTGGTACCGCTACTACGGCATGAATGGTAACACTTCGCAGTCCAAAAGATGTCAATGGCAGTGTACACGCCACTGGCAGTCATGACAACAATCACAGATTGACAGCGCAGTCAGGAAACAATAGTTCTGCGTACCGATACAAACAGCAACATCAAGAATCACCTTGTTACACCATCCTTCTGTTTGTGTGCATGGATTCTGGGACCCCGACCTAGGCAGAACAGCACAAAGAGTTTTATGTGCCAACCACCTGCCTCAACTCCAAACTCTTCCCGTCCTGAAAATGGATCAGCGTCGCACAGTATGTGGCGTCTTGGTTCAGGGTCTGACCAGCCTTTCCGCTGAGCCGACGAGCAACTGACCTAATGAGTGTAAACGCCGCGGAAGAGAGTGGCATCGCCTTCTCGTCGAATGATGCAAGTGCTGCCCATCCATGTCTCATCTTCCGCCGTTCATGGTGCAATCTCAGAACACTTTTCCGATGTGGCAGACACAGCCAATTCCTTTGGAGCTTCCGGCGCTTAGAGTCTTAGAGTGCTAGGTTCAGGACCGACGCCTTCTCCCCGAAACCACACACTCCCACGGCCAAAACCCAGAAGGCGGCTTCCAGCCTCATGGCTCCGCCTCGTCCCGCAACGGCCACAGAAACGAGAGTCTGCCATTAAGCGAGCTCCGCAGGCGTGACAGGTGTCCTGGTCCTCAGCAGTTCAAAGGCGTCGGAGTTTGGCGTTGAGGTTTGAGGTTGGTGAAGGCTTTACGTAGGGGCTCTCGTCAAAACGAGTGCAGGCTATGTAGGTCCAGGACTTGACTGCATGTTCGGCTGAAAGACTTACGGATGCAATCTGGTGTTTTGAGGACAAGGCTTTAGGGAATCAAAGCCCCTGTTGAGAAGGATCTGTTCTCGATCCACAACTGAGTCGATAACGCTGATCGTAGATATGCTGGACTACCGGTTGAACCCGACTCATACCTGCACTGCTACTACTTCTACTGCGCCTACTAGCACCTAGCTCTAGCTCTAGCACCAGCTCTAGCCGTCGCTAGGCACTGGTGCTCTTCCTGATACACCCACTACGACTACGACCACGACTACAACCACCATGCTGCTGCGGCTACAAGTTTGGCTACCACTGGTACACTGCCACAACCCGCAGCATCCTCGTCATCTTCTCCTTCTGAAACTCTTCGACATCCATCGGTTTAGGGTTTAGGGTTTAGATTTTAGGGCTTAGGGGTTTAGGGTTTAGGGTTTAGTGTTTATTGTTTATTGCTTATTGTTTCGGGTTCGTATCGTCATCAAACCAAATCCCCAAGGCTGTCTTCAGACTTTGAACAAGGCTCGAACCCCTGGCTGCTCGGGTTTCTGATGAAGATAATATAGGGGCCTTAATAATTAGAATAGGGTTTTGGGGATACATTATACTGTAATTATAATTCTGAACCCTCAAAAAAGTATTGGTAATTATTTAGGCACCTACATTAAGCCTTAACTGGAGTCCAGCACGTCGATATGGCGTCCTAGCTATTCCCTTCACGGCTGGCTGAGCCCCTTGCATGAACCGGAGCGGTCGCTGCTCCAATGCCCTGCAATCCCTGCAAGGCGTTGGGCAGTTCACCAGAAGCAGGGTCCAGATTCGCGAGGCTTCGGTTGCGCTTGGGTCGCATAAAGCTGGCGAGAGAGCAGGTGAGCGCGAGGAGCAGAAGATGTGTGTGCGCATGTCTGTATGCATACACGCACAGACAGCATACATACATATACATATTATGTATATATATATATATATATCCATCCGTACATACATACATACATACAATACAATACAATACAATACAATACAATACAATACAATACAATACAATACAATACAATGCAATACAATACAATACAATACAATACAATACAATACAATACAATACAATACAATACAAACATGCATGCATGCATGCATAAGTTAGGATCATGTATGGCTTATTCGTTTATCTTTACTTTATTGCTTGTGAACCGTTTCGAGCTGATTTACCGAAATTCAATATGTACCGGTATAAATATATACATATATATATATATACATGGAGATATGTTTATGTAGTGTGTGTGTGTGTGTGTGTGCGTGTGTTGCCATACCTTTTGTACATGTATATGTGCGTGCGAAAGAACGCTTTATAACTACATGCACATAAACTTGTTACATGCAGGCAGGCATACAAGCATACAGCCATACAGGCACACAGGCAGACAGGCACACACACACACACACATGCACTTAGTGACTACGCCATCCGCAGCCCGAAACCCTACACCCTCCAACCCTACACCCAAAGGTCAGCACATCCTAACCCTGCAACCTAAACCCACCAAACAAAGTCGAGACTTCCCTTCCCCTCCTTGTGCGTCGCCCTCCTCTGGCGCTCTGCTGAGGCCAACTCCCGGCATCGGCCTGCACTTATGTTGCTATCATCACTTGTTGCGACTACTTGGAGGTTCATGGGTAGTTATACGTGCGGTTATAAGTAGGGTAACTATACTTATAACCCATATTAGGGGACTTACAACCCCACTTATAACTACCCATGAACCTCCAAGTATGGTTACTAGGATGCTGACTGCTGGTATTGCTACTATGATTGTTCATGTATTGTTCCTAGTAAGTACCTCTGTAGATACCACCAGGCATACTACTCGTACAATTGCAAACTATTGCTGTCCAGGCATGATCCCACTGTCACGGGTATGGCTTTACTTCTACATTCCGTTCGCTGGATAACTTGGAGGATTTAGAGGGTTGGGTAATGGGGGGTATGGTTGACGGCCCTAAACCCTAGACACAGAAGGTTTGAGGCATGGGGGAGCCAGGGGCGGACCGAGGCTTCTTCCAAAGAGCCACCGAGGCCTTAATGACTCGAATCAGGTTTTGGGGCCCATGATACCATAACTATAATAAGG